CCCCCCCCCCCCCCCCCCCCCACTCCCCCTCTTGGGCCTCTCCCTCTCTCTCTCTCTCTCTCTTATAGACAGAGATGAACCCACCCACCTTCCCTTATCTCTCATCCTAACTCAAACCCTAAAACGCAAAGACCAGAAAATCGCACAAAAGTGCTCGCTTAAACGTACGGTTTCTCCCAATCAAGATAGATTTCTTCCCTCCCGCAAAGTCCTCCTTGGTATGAAGATGTTCTTTCCTTATATTCCCTCATTATTCTTTGCTTCCCCCCTTCGCCTTTGACCTCCCCCTTCCTATGTGAAACCTTCATTTGTGTATATATATATATGTGTGTGTGTGTGTGTATTTCTCTATCTATATGTAGATACGCTGTTTATTGATGATGCTTTTGAATTGAAATTGAAATTGAAATTGAAATGGATTGTTGGAACAGTTCTTCGCACTTTATGCTTCCTGGAAAGAGAGCAGTTGGAGGAGAAGAGGTAGTAGTTGTAGCTGAAGAAGACCATCAAAACACTTCCGAATCTCTGACCAAGAAGCTTAAGATCGACTCTTTGGTCTCGTCGGCCACGGGCACCACCACAACCACAACCACTACCACTACCACAACCACAACATCGACGATGGGAGGAAACGTTAATGGAAACAGCAATTACAGTAGCGGCAACAATGGTAAAGCTCCGATCGGGGCTTTTGGCGGGGGAAATTCACCTGATATCGATGAGGATCTGCACAGTCGGCAGCTTGCGGTCTACGGTCGCGAGACGATGCGGAGGCTATTTGGGTCCAACATCCTTATCTCTGGAATGCAAGGCCTCGGTGCTGAAATCGGTATATATATCTGTATAATGTATATGCTGATGTTATATTTGGCTTCTGTGATTTTGGTTTTTTGTGTTTCTTGAACTGGTTACTAGGTTCCTACAGTGGACTGGTTATATAATTCAATTGTCATAGATGTCCCTTCCTTGATTATGGCATCGAAGCCAGTGATGGCCATAATGTTCTAGTCTGCCTAGTTTTACTGATTTTATCTGGATTTTGTTGACGCAATTTATTCTGAATTTCACACTGGTTTTAATAATTTGAATCGGTTATTGTTTAAACAAAATGGGATGTGTGCTTGTTGCAGCGAAAAACCTTATACTTGCTGGTGTGAAGTCTGTGACCCTTCACGATGAGGGAAATGTGGAGTTGTGGGATTTGTCTAGCAATTTCATTTTCTCCGAGGATGATGTGGGGAAAAATCGGGCTCTTGCTTCTGTCCAGAAATTGCAAGAACTGAACAACTCCGTGGGCATTTCTACTCTAACAACTGCACTGACTACGGAACAACTTTCTGGTTTTCAGGTAAGTTTTCTATTTGTGTTTTTCTTGGTATTTACTGCACTTTGATTCTCTGATATGCAACACAGTTCACCATTTATCTGCTGGTAGTGTCAGTCATGTCTAACAACTGTAGACTAATCAGGATGATTTTGTTTTAACTTTATGCCTTACTCGTTCAAGGTTCTTTAATGTGCTTAAATTAAGGTAGTTAGGGCCTGTCTGTTTTGGATGTGGTTAGATCTCTTCAGTAAAGACAAATGTTCTCTTACTTGACTTTGAGAAGTAAATACAAAAAAGTGCTTTCTAATACAATGAAAAATAGCAAAGCCTTGTTATCTACTGAGCATAGACCTCTCAGATAAATTTTAAAACCTTTCGTTAGATGATGAGCTGATTCCCGAGATATTCTTCTTTCTTTCTATTTTAATAGCATTGACTCTTTATGTTCAAATTTAAAGAGTTGAGGTTTTTTTGTGTGGGTGGGTTAGTGATGTGTCAGAAGAGCCATATACGAAATTGAATATTTTAGTAGTTGTATGCTTGCTCTCGAACAGTGTCAACAGCAATTTATGTTTATGTATTCTTGGATTGCTGACTAATGGTGGGGAAAGAGGTCTGTGATATGCTTTCTCTCCGTGTGTTTACACTCATGCTTGTGCACGTGCTCTGTCCACTTATTTCTCTATTGTGTAAACACACACCCACACGTGCACTTGCATGCTTGGTTTTGCCAATTGTATATATTTCTATGATTGTCGGAGTGTGTAGTTTGGCCAATTTTATGAAATTATGTTTACTGCTGATTATATATTTTCAACGCATGTGCTGTCTTTATTGAGTATAGTTTTGATATTTGTATTCTGACTGCAGGCTGTAGTATTTACTGATATCAGCTTAGAGAAAGCAATTGAATTTGATGATTACTGCCATAAGCATCAGCCTCCAATCGCTTTCATCAAATCTGAAGTACGAGGTCTTTTTGGTAGTGTGTTTTGTGATTTTGGCCCTGAATTTACAGTTATTGATGTTGATGGCGAGGATCCACACACTGGCATTATTGCATCTGTTGGCAATGACAACCCTGCTCTTGTAGCTTGTGTTGATGATGAGAGACTTGAGTTCCAGGATGGGGATCTAGTTGTGTTCTCTGAGGTCCATGGAATGACGGAATTAAATGATGGAAAGCCAAGAAAGGTTAAAAATGCAAGGCCCTATTCGTTTACCATCGAAGAGGATACCACAAGTTATGCTGCTTATGAGAAAGGTGGTATTGTGACGCAGGTGAAGCAACCTAAGGTGTTGAACTTTAAGCCATTGCAGGAAGCACTCAAAGATCCTGGTGATTTTCTTCTGAGTGATTTCTCCAAGTTTGACCGTCCACCTATCCTACACTTGGCATTCCAAGCATTGGATAAGTTTATATTGGAGTTGGGACGCTTCCCTGTTGCTGGATCTGAAGAAGATGCTCAGAAGTTAATATCTTTGGTCAATAGCCTCAACAATAACTCAACTGATGGGAGACTTGAAGAAATTGATGAAAAACTTCTTAAAAACTTTGCATATGGGGCTAGGGCTGTGCTAAACCCAATGGCTGCCATGTTTGGCGGCATTGTTGGGCAGGAAGTTGTGAAGGCCTGCTCTGGGAAGTTCCATCCACTTTTCCAGGTTAGTTTTTTCAGTAAGGGTTGGTTTTAATTGTGGTTTTAAGCTTGATTATACTTGCCATTGGCTCTAAAGTCCAAGTCTAGAGAATCAAAGGCAGATTACTGGACTGAATAAACGTGTAATAAAAAATTAGTGGTTTGGCTTGTTCAGGGAAAATTTCTGCTTAATTGCTACTTGTTGCTAACACTTTTAACGGTATGAACATGACATGCCCAGTTGATTCTCTGTCTGTCTTTGTCTTCCCTGTGTTTACAGTTTTTCTATTTCGACTCTGTTGAGTCCCTTCCCACCGAACCTCTTGACCCCAATGACTTGAAGCCCTTGAGTAGTCGTTATGATGCCCAAATCTCAGTGTTTGGATCCAAGCTCCAGAAAAAACTGCAGGATGCAATAGTTTTTATTGTGGGATCTGGTGCACTAGGGTGTGAGTTTTTGAAAAATATAGCTCTGATGGGAGTGTGTTGTGGCAATGAAGGAAAGCTAACGATAACGGATGATGATGTCATTGAGAAAAGCAATCTTAGCCGACAATTCCTTTTCCGGGATTGGAACATTGGGCAGGCCAAATCAACTGTTGCTGCCTCGGCTGCTTCTTTGATAAATCCACGTCTCCACATTGAATCACTGCAGAACCGTGCAAGCCCTGAGACTGAGAGTGTGTTTGACGATACATTTTGGGAAAATTTAAGTGTTATCATTAACGCATTGGATAATGTGAATGCCAGGCTGTACATTGATCAGAGGTGCTTGTATTTCCAGAAGCCACTTCTGGAGTCTGGCACCCTGGGTGCGAAATGCAATACTCAAATGGTCATTCCTCACTTGACGGAAAACTATGGTGCCTCAAGGGATCCACCTGAGAAACAAGCACCCATGTGCACTGTGCACTCATTCCCTCATAACATTGACCACTGCTTGACATGGGCTCGATCAGAGTTTGAGGGTTTGCTTGAGAAAACACCAGCTGAAGTAAATGCCTACTTAAGCAATACAGTTGAATATACATCTGCAATGAAGAATGCTGGTGATGCACAGGCCAGGGACAATTTGGAACGTGTTCTTGATTGCCTTGACAAGGAGAGATGCGAAACATTCCAAGACAGCATAGCTTGGGCACGATTGAAGTACTGCTATTCTTGATTAACTATATAGCTGTCCTTTATCTGTAATTATTGCTTTCTTAGATCAGCTTTGATGATATGCTTTTAATGGAACCAGGTTTGAAGACTACTTTGTTAACCGTGTGAAGCAGTTGACATTTACATTTCCTGAGGATGCCGTAAACAGTAGTGGGACACCATTCTGGTCTGCTCCAAAGCGCTTTCCCCGTGCACTGCAGTTCTCTGTTGATGATCCCAGCTACCTTCAGTTTGTTCTGGCAGCATCCATATTACGAGCAGAGACATTTGGAATCCCAATTCCTGACTGGATTATGTCTCCTAAGAAGTTTGCTGATGCTGTTAACAAAGTGGTACTCCCTGATTTCCAGCCCAAGAAAGATGTGAAGATTGAGACAGATGAGAAAGTGACCAGTCTTGCAACTGCATCTGTAGATGATGCTGCCGTCATCAATGAGTTGGTTACGAAGTTGGAAATGTGCCACAAGAAGCTGCTGCCTGGTTTTAAGATGAACCCAATTCATTTCGAGAAGGTCTGCTCTCTCTCTCTCTCATATTGTGGTCAGTATGCACTTGTGGAAATTTACAGGGTCTCATTGTATGACACATTTTATCTGCCAGCATAAACTGAGTATAGTGTGCCATGGGATAGCTGATGCTAATGATATTGATGTGGCAAATTTCTGAATGATAAAGCTACTATATTTGTTTGGGTGAGGCTATTCCCACCCCAGAAATATCCGTTCCCACCCTCACTAAATCCTTTTATTTTAAATTACTAAGTCCATCTCATCTATATACACCCCATTAATTACTAAGTTGACCCCATTTATATCCATCTATTAAACTACTAAATATATATTTCAAGGATGCTGAAACGAAACAGTAATTGAAACAAAATTTCATTGTTTCGAGGTGATCTAGAATATGTCAAGTGTTTTGAGATATTTTGACAATTTTTTACCAATATTTTTGAAAATTTTTGAGGTGTTTTAAAATATTTTAAAAATAAATTATTAAGTTTTTATTCGTTTTTTATTTTGTTCTGAAACGTTTCTAAACCAAAATAGCGTACTGAAATAAATTTTTAATCATTGTCTATATAATAGGTTGAAATAAAAATGGGGTGGATTTAGTTTTTAATTGGTGATTATAGACGGGGATAGTTTAGTAATTAATGGGGTGGGTATAGATGAGGTAGACTTAATAGTTTGAAATAAAAGAGTTAAATGGGGTGGGAAAGGAGATTTAAGGGGTGGGAATAGCCCCACCCATTTTGTTTTCGTGGTTGTGACCCAATTGCTGTGGTTTATGTGCTGACACCATGCTGTGAATTTTTGGTCCAGTGCCAATTTAACTAGATAACTGACAGATTCCTAATTGTAAAAAACCAAAAAAGGTTTTTAAGCTTTTTAGGTAACAATCATCCATTCATCTGTGCTATTAGCATCTGTTGAATACTTTGTTCTGAATGTGCAGGATGATGACACCAACTATCATATGGATCTAATAGCTGGACTTGCAAACATGAGGGCGAGGAATTACAGCATTCCTGAAGTTGATAAGCTTAAGGCCAAATTCATTGCTGGGAGGATCATCCCTGCAATTGCAACCTCCACTGCAATGGCCACTGGCCTTGTTTGCCTAGAGCTGTACAAAGTTCTGGACAGAGGTCACAAACTGGAGGATTACCGCAACACCTTTGCTAACCTGGCACTGCCTTTATTCTCAATTGCTGAGCCGGTCCCACCTAAGGTGATCAAGCACCAGGACATGAGCTGGACTGTGTGGGACAGGTGGATTCTGAGAGACAATCCTACGTTGAGAGAGCTCCTTCAATGGCTCAAAAACAAAGGATTGAATGCTTATAGCATCTCCTATGGAAGCTGCTTGCTTTTTAATAGTATGTTCCCTAGGCACAAAGATCGCATGGATCGAAAGTTGGTGGATCTAGCCAGGGAAGTTGGTAAAGCAGAACTGCCTCAATACCGTCGTCATTTTGATATAGTAGTGGCATGCGAGGATGATGAGGACAATGATATTGATGTCCCTCAGATTTCCATATACTTCAGGTAAGGTAGCTGGTACCGAATAGTCATGAGAATTAGCATGGAATATTAGGATGGAAACTACTGTATCTTCGCTGCAATTGTTGATCTTGGTTTCCATTTTATTCTATATTACAATTTCGACAATTTCTTTTGATTTGCTTATAACTATGAAAGGAACACATTGTGCAATAGTGTATCATGTCAATGCACTGTTTCTGGTTTCTTGTTTTTGTGTGAACTGTTTTCTTATAATGTCATAACTATTTCTCTCCAGGCCAACTTGAAGTTTCATATTATGTTGGGAACATTGTTTTTTGGGTGGGACTTCTACATAATTTTTTTTTTTGGGGGGTCTGAACTTGGATCGTTTTGCTGGATATAAATGTATACTTTTCTGATGCGTCGTTTATACTTTCACTTGGCAGCATGTAATTGGAGTTGTGAAATAAATCGACCCAAAATTAGGATAAAATTTGAATTGGTTATGCACAAATTCCAAATTCATGGAGGTAATCGTATAACCCCCAACGCAGTATTTGATATAAGTCTTTACCATACCACTGGTGTGTTTATTTTGCACTTGAGTAAGTACATACTTTACTTACTATAACATACATATACATGATGGCACTACATTGTTTAGTATCTTCTCACTGAAGAATGGTTCTATTTGTGTGCTATTTGAAGGAAACATATCATGTTGTACAGTAGGGGTATTGTTCCTCAAAACGTTGTCTTTTCATGTGTAAAAAGGAGCTGTTTAGAGGAATAGCACCCCTAAGCATAGGATTCGGACTTCTATTCGAATCACCTTCAATGATGGAATTTACATGTTAAAATGAATCTCTCTTTGTCTCTAAAAACTAGGCCTTTTGCTGGAAGATGCAAAAGCCCTCAGCATAGTCTGATTACTAGTGAAGTTTTCTGATTACTAGGGGGGTGTTGGTATAATTTTCCTCCCATCTTGTAAAACCATCTACTGCTGCGGTGGGCGTTCCAACACCCATCGGCAGCTCCTATGGAGATTGCTCCGAAGAACTACATGGCAATTGTGGTTGGTATACGAAACCTCTAAAAAAAAACCTTTGGTTTTTCGAGGCAAGTCTCTAATATTTTTTTTTTGAGGAAACCGAGTTGGATAGGGAGAGGGTACTTGCATAAAAAATACCAGTGCAAGGAGAAAAAACAACTCCATGTTTCTTATTTAATCTATCACTGTCTGGTTCGATTAGATCTGAGTAAGTAATATATCTGTGATATGTTATATATAAGATGACCCACAAAAATACTACAAGATGACTTGAATTCTTAATCAGTCACTCTCTTTGTGTAATATCTGCATAATAAATATATACAGCAAAATAAATAAATTATGGCCTATAGTAAAAATATATTCAATGAAAAAATATTAAAAAAAAACCCAACTCCTATGGTGTCTACTCATTGTTGAATGGGTTCTCTGTTTCCTACATCCAAGTAGAAACTCTCACTAATGGAGTTCCTCTCCATGCCAAAACCATATCATTTTCATTGTGGCCTTCAACTCTAACTTCAAATGAACTCTCTCCTTCTTTCACCATTTCTTTGGCTTCGATTAAGATCTCTTTGCTCAGCCTCCTAGCCTGCAATCCAGCCTCCACCTGAAAATCAAAACCTTCACTAGTCTCTTCCCACTTCTGGAACCAAGAAGCAGAGGAGACATAAGGTGCTACAAAAAGACTCTCCATGGCTATTCTTGCTTCTGCAAGATAAGTTGGGAAATTCCACTCCATTGATTCACATAGAGCTTGGTAGTGCCTCAGATGCTCGTTGAAGAATGAATTGTATCCCGNTTTTCTGATGCGTCGTTTATACTTTCACTTGGCAGCATGTAATTGGAGTTGTGAAATAAATCGACCCAAAATTAGGATAAAATTTGAATTGGTTATGCACAAATTCCAAATTCATGGAGGTAATCGTATAACCCCCAACGCAGTATTTGATATAAGTCTTTACCATACCACTGGTGTGTTTATTTTGCACTTGAGTAAGTACATACTTTACTTACTATAACATACATATACATGATGGCACTACATTGTTTAGTATCTTCTCACTGAAGAATGGTTCTATTTGTGTGCTATTTGAAGGAAACATATCATGTTGTACAGTAGGGGTATTGTTCCTCAAAACGTTGTCTTTTCATGTGTAAAAAGGAGCTGTTTAGAGGAATAGCACCCCTAAGCATAGGATTCGGACTTCTATTCGAATCACCTTCAATGATGGAATTTACATGTTAAAATGAATCTCTCTTTGTCTCTAAAAACTAGGCCTTTTGCTGGAAGATGCAAAAGCCCTCAGCATAGTCTGATTACTAGTGAAGTTTTCTGATTACTAGGGGGGTGTTGGTATAATTTTCCTCCCATCTTGTAAAACCATCTACTGCTGCGGTGGGCGTTCCAACACCCATCGGCAGCTCCTATGGAGATTGCTCCGAAGAACTACATGGCAATTGTGGTTGGTATACGAAACCTCTAAAAAAAAACCTTTGGTTTTTCGAGGCAAGTCTCTAATATTTTTTTTTTGAGGAAACCGAGTTGGATAGGGAGAGGGTACTTGCATAAAAAATACCAGTGCAAGGAGAAAAAACAACTCCATGTTTCTTATTTAATCTATCACTGTCTGGTTCGATTAGATCTGAGTAAGTAATATATCTGTGATATGTTATATATAAGATGACCCACAAAAATACTACAAGATGACTTGAATTCTTAATCAGTCACTCTCTTTGTGTAATATCTGCATAATAAATATATACAGCAAAATAAATAAATTATGGCCTATAGTAAAAATATATTCAATGAAAAAATATTAAAAAAAAACCCAACTCCTATGGTGTCTACTCATTGTTGAATGGGTTCTCTGTTTCCTACATCCAAGTAGAAACTCTCACTAATGGAGTTCCTCTCCATGCCAAAACCATATCATTTTCATTGTGGCCTTCAACTCTAACTTCAAATGAACTCTCTCCTTCTTTCACCATTTCTTTGGCTTCGATTAAGATCTCTTTGCTCAGCCTCCTAGCCTGCAATCCAGCCTCCACCTGAAAATCAAAACCTTCACTAGTCTCTTCCCACTTCTGGAACCAAGAAGCAGAGGAGACATAAGGTGCTACAAAAAGACTCTCCATGGCTATTCTTGCTTCTGCAAGATAAGTTGGGAAATTCCACTCCATTGATTCACATAGAGCTTGGTAGTGCCTCAGATGCTCGTTGAAGAATGAATTGTATCCCGAGCAATTCTTAAGTCCTTCCCTTGCTTCTCCATCACTAAAAGTTATGACTCCTTTATTGGTTTCAGAATAGGCTAACAGTTCCTTAGCATTCTTCAGAAACTCCATGACACGACTTCTACTTCTCCTCCTCCCCATGTGTGGAAGTCCCACCATGCAATTGAAGGCCAGCCATTCTTTCCTTCCACCTATCTTCTTGTTTCTCTTCATCTCACTCGCTAAATCCTCAAAACTCATCTCCTCCACCTGCAACTTTATGCCAAAAGGTCTTGCATGATCATAGAGTCGCCTCTTTGTCTCTTCGAACTTCCACCGAGGAAAATTGCAATTATCCTCTAACTTTATCGATGTCAATCTTATGGCCTTCTGTTTCCGCCCCAAGGCCTCAATCATGGAAGGCCATTGAACCCCTTCTCCCATGTCAAAGTCTACTATGTGTATCATCTCTGCATCACCAGGCATAGCTTCAAGGATAGCAGAGTTAGCCGTGAAGTGAGCATACCTCCCATACGGGAAGATTTGGTAGAAAGCCCTGAACGCAGCCTCAAAGTTCTTAATTGCCTCGTGTTTCAAGTAGTCACTTTGTTGTTCTTTGGATTGGAATAAGTTGAATGTGACTCGTTCAAGCGTGTCCCCAACTGGACTAACTTTCTCGTTTACACATTTTACGATCACCTCAGCAAGCTCTCTCTGTCCCATCTCCATGGCTTCTCCATAAGCCTTTAGTAGGTGCTGAAGGCTCAATTGGATATCAGTTTCCATGTTATCCCCTGGTAATGTTAGTGATTGTAAGACCACCGAAGCTTCACTAGATTTCAACAAGGGGCAAGGGGACCATACATCTATATCCCTAGACATCTCTGAAGGAAGGTTTCCCTCGCTCTCTCTGTCGTCCAACCATATGCAAATATCCTCAATTTCACCCCTTGGAATTAGCTCAAAACCATCCATGTTTTGGGGAAAATTCTCCACGGGGAACATGACCTGCATCTCGTCGTCCAAAACTGGAAACTGGACATACTCGTCGGCGAACTTGGTCTGAAACCCTGGGGCGGAGATTTCAGAGGAGTCCTCAGAGGTTGTGAATAAGGGAGAGAATTCATGGTCATCAGCCACATGTGTATCCATGTTTAGACCATACCATCCAGGTTGATCAAGAGTTGTGTGGATTATGTCATAGAATGGCCATGAGGGCTGAAGAGACTCGGTTTGCATCATCTTTCTATGTGAATCTACTTGCAGTACAAGAGTTGTTCTGAGTTTCGAAGATGGGGTATATGAATGTGGGTCTACCTGGTACTTATACAAGACTTGGTGATTAATTTTGAGGCAAGGATTAAATAAAATAATAATAAAATTGAAAATGCAGGGGAAAAAAACTGGCCAATGAGGCATTGACTTGTAAGATTTCTACATGATTTTATTCCATCGGGTTTCCCAGCTGAGTCCTCTACCTTTCTTGGAGTCTCCTTGGAAGTTGGTAAGCTGTTTACATTTCTCTTGTTATTTTTTATATTTTAATCAGATTTTTTAAGATATTAACAATTCATGTCATATTCAATGTAATCACCTTTTCACACAATGAGGATTTGATTCTAGTGCAAGCATTTTGAGATTAGCAGTCTTTGTGGGCCCACTATTAAGGAACACCCACATGATCTGGTTCAATCTAGGAACACAAATCCTGTTGACCCTTTTGTAAACTGACACCTTGCTTTAGAGAGGACCTTCTGGTTATCCATTGAAATTATTATTTAATCAGATACCCTTATATTGTTTGCATATTTAATCTTCTTCTTCAAATCTCTTTTGATGTTTGTCAAGATCCAAACTAGATTTGTATTCAATCTTTAGAAAGAAAATAGCCGACCAAAAAGATTGAAAATTAGATGACACTAAATCCATGTATTCTTTTTGCTATAGCTGATTATAATGAAAGATTAAAATCTCGTGTCATTTCGTTTCCATCAAAATGATCAAAATGCTTCAGTTTCTATGAATATTTCTACATTGAATGAAATGAATAAGTTGTTGAACATCAGAATTGCGAAGTGTGTTAGAATGTGTTTTTATGATTTGACCAATGTTTTAAAATATTGAAAGAGGAAAGTTTCACTTCTTTTTATCTTTTCATTTAGTTTCCATAGCAATTTTTGCTGGCCAAAACTCTTAAAGGGTGATCCAATTGTCAACCACGCCATTTTGTAAGTAAGAGGTCTCAGATTTGATATTTCTCATCCATTCTAAGGGCCGATTACTCTTGTTCTTCAAAGAACATGTCCTTAAAACTAGTTCGAGTAACGCTGATTGACTCAGAACTTGAGGGAATAGTCGACGGTGCAAATCTAGACACCTTATAGCAAAAAAAAAAAAAAAATTGATATAATTTTTTCCCAACTAAAGAAATTATGGGGCTAATTTCAAAATTATATAATTTTTTGTCTATAACTCAAATCATCTAACCCTTATCCACAAATTTATAAATTCATATCTACACTATCATATCCTAAAATAGAGTTTGACTTGAAATTCATCTGATTTGAATAATGAAGTAGTAGGAGTATGCTGTGTATTAGGATAAAATGGAAATCTAAAAGCAAGAGAGTTTGGCGGGAATTTCTTACAAAAATATACGCTATCTTTAAGGTTTGTCCTATTGCTGTTACATTTATGTGGGTTTGCAAAGGGGGAGTTTATGTTCCTTCCGGACTTTCTTTGTTGATAAATCTTAGGGCAAATAGCAGTTTGCACCATGAAAGATTAAAAAAAATTTAATTTATACTCTTAAACATTAATTATTTTAAATTGCACACTCAATTAAATTAATTAGTAGCAAAGTGACCCCAACTATAGCGTTCGTTGTGATTTTTATTAAATTGTCAACCACGTTAGATACACGTGATGACTTTTGTTGAATTATGACGCTTTTCCTTTTCACGTGCGTCTCACGTTTCTGTCAATCCAATAAAAATTATCGTGGGAGATATGGCTAAGATTGCGATTTTCGTCAAAATGGACAACCACGTGAAATACATGTGATGTCTTTTGTTAGATTATGACTCTTGCCCTTTTCACGTATTTTTCACGTGACTGTTAGTTTGATAAAAATCATAACGGACATTATAATTGGGGTCATATTGCTATCAATTAATTTAATTGAGGGTGTAATTTGAAATAATTAATCCTTGAGGGTGTATATTAAAAAAATTTAATCTTCTAAGGTACAAACTGCCATTTGCCCTAAATCTAATTAAGCTAAGATCTACAAGTTTCTTGCATTCTTATACACAATCTTGGTGATACGAATCTTTTGAGGAATATATGTGAAATCTACAAGTGATTACTACAAGGATTGTATCACACTCCATAAGATTGAAGGTAATTGCATGGGTGTTNTTTGTCTATAACTCAAATCATCTAACCCTTATCCACAAATTTATAAATTCATATCTACACTATCATATCCTAAAATAGAGTTTGACTTGAAATTCATCTGATTTGAATAATGAAGTAGTAGGAGTATGCTGTGTATTAGGATAAAATGGAAATCTAAAAGCAAGAGAGTTTGGCGGGAATTTCTTACAAAAATATACGCTATCTTTAAGGTTTGTCCTATTGCTGTTACATTTATGTGGGTTTGCAAAGGGGGAGTTTATGTTCCTTCCGGACTTTCTTTGTTGATAAATCTTAGGGCAAATAGCAGTTTGCACCATGAAAGATTAAAAAAAATTTAATTTATACTCTTAAACATTAATTATTTTAAATTGCACACTCAATTAAATTAATTAGTAGCAAAGTGACCCCAACTATAGCGTTCGTTGTGATTTTTATTAAATTGTCAACCACGTTAGATACACGTGATGACTTTTGTTGAATTATGACGCTTTTCCTTTTCACGTGCGTCTCACGTTTCTGTCAATCCAATAAAAATTATCGTGGGAGATATGGCTAAGATTGCGATTTTCGTCAAAATGGACAACCACGTGAAATACATGTGATGTCTTTTGTTAGATTATGACTCTTGCCCTTTTCACGTATTTTTCACGTGACTGTTAGTTTGATAAAAATCATAACGGACATTATAATTGGGGTCATATTGCTATCAATTAATTTAATTGAGGGTGTAATTTGAAATAATTAATCCTTGAGGGTGTATATTAAAAAAATTTAATCTTCTAAGGTACAAACTGCCATTTGCCCTAAATCTAATTAAGCTAAGATCTACAAGTTTCTTGCATTCTTATACACAATCTTGGTGATACGAATCTTTTGAGGAATATATGTGAAATCTACAAGTGATTACTACAAGGATTGTATCACACTCCATAAGATTGAAGGTAATTGCATGGGTGTTTGGGAACTGGGATGAAAATATTCTTTTGGACGGCACGATGGGAGGCAATATTTGAATTGTAAATTTCTCGTCACAAAAGTCTTACCCGATAAAAGGATAATGTTACTCATAGTTACTGTTGAGTTGTTGAATTCGTCACCTGACCAAGTTAGAGAATATTACGTTTAACCTTAACGGTAGTTTAATTGGTAATAAAGAAAATTTATAAATTTAGACGTTTTGAATTTGAATCTTAATTAGTTCTTGGGTCCTAACCAAGAGAAAATAACTCTTTATAAATATATTAATTATTGTCTGTGCCTGAAAACACAAAATAATAAAAAATGGTAAACAATATACATTTTTTTTTCCTTCAAAGCCACCAAGTGTGGGTGGGGTGTTTGGTAGGACCCTTACCTGTATATATAACTAAAAGAAAAAAAGTACAAGGGAGGGGGACCAACCTCCAGGAGTACAAAGTGGAAGAAAAGCAAAAGCAAGGTGGTGACTCACCACCAAAGACATGAAAACAAAGTGGGGACTCCCCAAAGAACTAACTGAAAACATAATGAAAATAAAACTCACCGACGAACGTGAAGAGTCTGTTGAGCATCCAAGACGAGGGTGCCAGTAATCCCAAGAGGAAGAGATGATGAATCAGGAAATCGCTGATAGAACTGTTGAGAGCAAACCCAATTAGAGTGAAGTCGGCATCCGAATTCGCCTCCCACAGGATGTGGCAGACACGAGCCGAGAGAGAAGCACACAAAAGCCGAATGCGAGCAAGCAGATAAGCATAAACCCAGCACCAGTACCCTGAGAATAAACCCAAGAAACCACTGTAGCTGAATCTGACTCCACTACTAACTCTAAAACTCCTAAATCTATGGCCAACTCCAACCCAGCCCAAACAACTTGCATCTCCGAATACAGAATAGTCTGATATCCCAAAAATAAGCCAAAAGCCCTGAGAACTCGACCTTGGTGGTCTCGAATAACACCCCCTGCTGCAGACAATCCCAGATTGCCTTTAGAACAACCGTCAACACTGATCTTTAGGTAACCTGGTACAGGACGAGTTCAAGCAACCAAACGGAGAGGCCGAGGTCGAGGAACCAAGACCCTAAGAGAACCCACAAACTCAACCGACTCATCTCGATGCAACTGACTCAGAACAAACCCAAAAGCAAGCCCAATCAACTGCATATCGGCCATAACCCTCTGAACCACAACGGGCACTTGAAAAGCCCGACCATCAAACCTATAAGTATTACACGCTTTCCATAGGTGCCACAAAATAAAACATGGTAGTAGTACCCGCACATGACCTACAAAAGGAGCACAACGCCTCCAACGAAACATTAAAGCATAAGGAGACTGGAACAGCCAGGATTTGATCCCAAACATCTGATAAAAGTAACCCCACACCTGAACTGCAAGCGGACAATCCAAAAAAAGGTACCCAAGTGTCTTAACAACCCCACCACACACACACTGGGATACTACATGAAAACCCCGTATCTCTAAGCCATCATTTGTGGCCAGGAAACCATGAAACAACCGCCATATAAAGAAGGAGACCTAAGTCGGAATATGTCTCTGCCAGACACAAGAAAATCCAGCTCGAACTGGAGCCATACTCCGAATATCTTCCCAAGCAGTCCTCAAGGAAAAATCTCCATCCAAAGACAAAATCCACCTCATTTGATCAACTCCCTGATCTGGAATCGAAATCTGCAAAATCTACTCAACAACTGAAGAAGGCAAAACCCCCAACAATCGGCCTCTGTCCCATTGCCGACTCGCCCAGTAAGCAGAAACATAAATCCTAGGAGTTGCCCCCAGACACACTAAAGCCAACTGGTAATCCCCCAACCAACAATTATACCAGAAACTGACCTCATCGGACCGTATTAACCATCTGATCTTTAGCTCAGCCACAGATCGGATAC